AAAATTTTTTTTTTTTTTCTCAGGAAACATTTGATAACTATCTGGACATTATAAAGATTTTACAATTAACTGAATTCATGAAAGAACACAAGTTCTTCCTCAAGTTTCGAAGAATGGTGATGGAAATACCAAGATTCAATTGCAAAAGGGGAGGGGTGGAGAAACTTATCAAGCCAGTTATATACTCAGGCAAACAAAATTCCAAAAGAAAAGAGAACTAACTTAGAGAACTAACTTGAATTATATGTATGCAGTGTGGAAAGACCTAGGAATAGAGGAAAGAGATTCAAAAGAGGAGCAGAAGTATAAAAGTAGCAAAAGTATTTTCATACAAAAAATCACCTTTAAGAAATGTTTTTGAAAACAAAACTATATTTATCTACACTTAATAGTACGTAGAAATATAATATTTTCAGCATTAATAAATACTACAATCCCTATAGTCTTTAAGACATTGTGATTAGTAAAATAAAAAAGTTTACAACAGGTGATACAAATGTGTACTTCCTTAACATTCCCTAATATATGGCTGTATATAATTATTTTAATTGGTCTTTTCATCTATACTTCACTATATAACATTCATCAGCACAAGTTTAATGAAAATTTTTTTTAACACCAATATATATAAAAAAAAGAAAAGTAATTTTACAGTGCCAGTTAGTTTGGAGATCAGTTAAGAATTATATTTTTCCTTGAAATCGAAAAATGAAATGTCAAACATTTTGTGTAACTACGGTGTTATCTTTACATCTCCAAGTTATTTTTTCCTCAAAAATGCTATATTCCACAACTACAGAAACAATTTTCAAAGTTATTCTAACATTTTGCACTAACTTAAACCCAAAATTACTTCTACTTATATTTAGTGTGAAGCCAGTAAATTCTGTTTCTCACAACCATCAGAGAAAAGCAATGAATTTTAAAAGTGAGTCATTAAATATTGTGATGGTCAGGGTAGAGGACTTTGAACCATAGTAATGAATAAATTTATGTAAATTAAGGGTTCAAGGTTCAAACTTTGGTTAAGACGATTTCCAAGTATCCTAATAAAAACTTGAATCCAGCTGGGACTTATTCTGCTCTTGAAGCTTATCCAAATGGAAGATAAATTGTGTTTCAGGCTAGACTCTGTGGTTAGTCTACAAGAGGGTTTTATTGGCATGAAGTAACCAGAAGTGTTTGTAAGGCAGTGAGTGTGTTGTCAGCCCATATTTGCCATGTTATTTTATGACCAGAAGTGTTTGTAAGGTACATACCACAAGGCAGTGAGTGTGTTGTCAGCTCACGGTTGCCATGTTATTTTATGAATTGTAGACTACTGATGGAAATCACTTATTCCAAATAATAAAATACTATGGTGGTTGTGAAAGGAGAGTTTGAACTTAGCTCTGCAAGATGATTCTCAGAATACCAAGAAACCTGGCAGACATTTTAACATTCTAAATTATTACATTACACTGTGCAAAGTTTCACCTCATGGCAGTCATAACTTAAATGTTACCACAGTTTTCAACAAGTAACAAAATTGCCTGCTTTAATGAATGAATAAAAGTCAGTTTTTACCTAAGCTTGTGTTAATTTATTTCTATTTTGCTAATTTCTTTATCTATTACATTCTATAAAACAAGTCAAACCACTAAAATTTTATAGTTTGGATCCAGATAAACACTTAATTTAGCAAGATAATGAATGTAGAAACATACTAATAACAACTGCATGCAGAAGTTTCAAGTTAATGGATATCCTGGAGGTACTGATGCAGCACAGAATAATTTCTTTTTTAGAACTTTCATAAAAGCAGTCTGAGAATTACTACAATAAGACAAGACCTTTATACTCTCTACTACTCATGCTGTAAATCCATAATCATTGGCATCTATTTGCAAGGTATAAAGTAATAACTCGCACTGTATAAAATAAGTCTATATGAAGGACAGTGTTGATATTAAACTAATATGACAAGTTTTAATAATGTATTCACACAATGTCATTCCAGCTTTCAAAAGAATTCATCTCTTCTGTTTTGACATTTTAATATATTTGTTAGCATCAAAACTATCTTCAATTTCTTCCTCTACAACAAGTTTTTCTTTTGGTTTTCTTCGTGCTAATCGTTGCTTTTGTTCTTCCTCAGTCAATGAGTTCATATCTAGGGGGAGCTAAAAGATAAATAATTAATACAACTATTTAGTTATTTTGAAGTTGAAAAATTAATTTTCATACAGCATACCAATCTCTCGCAATACCTTCACATAATTTTATCACTATGTATGTGTAGTTCAACAGTTCATAAAGATTCCAGAATATTTCCACCTTAAATATATTTCAAATTAATCCCATGAGAGAACCAACAGATTTATCTAATTCTGGTAATAATTACAATGAATGTTTACATACATGGATTAGTTTAAGAAATGGGCTTACTGATATATAAAAAAAATCTTGTTTTATTTTCAAGGAATTTTGTGCAATTATTTTTTTCCACTACAAAATTACAATACTGAGGTTTGATTTCTTTAAAAACAGGCATTTTTAAAACATAGTAGGGTTAAACCCATTCTTCTAGCATTTTGTCACAAGACTTGCAACCTTCCTTAGAAACCTAAATGTGATGTACAGAAGTTCTGATTTACAAGATGAAATGTCAAGAAAGAAAAATTTATACAAGTTGCTATTCATATTAGACATTTATTTGCCCATTAAGAGTGATTAGGTAAAGTTGTTATGATACCACCCCTAAATACCAGAAGTCATAACTGAGTTATGTCATTGTCCACACAACTCCATATCCAACAAACTGCTGAGACCATTTTATTTTCTCTACATTGATGTGGATGGATTATAATCTGCTCTGTCCAATTGCAGGGGAGAAAATATCTGGGTTCACATTGCAATTTGCAAATCAAAACAAACTCTGTTGTAAATCACTATGTCTTTCTTGAAATACTGCCTACCTAGAACTTTTATAGAGATGAACAATGGAATCTAATGGACAGTTTAGAACACTAAGGAAGAAAACACAGATGTGGAAATTTTATGTGGTTCCTTAAGGCATTCTTTTCATTCTTACAAATGTTTTAGTTTTAAATTATATCTGTTTGATTTCTACAGATATTTTCTTCTATAATAATATATTATTGCATGGAAGCTTAGTTAAATTTAGTAGGATGTAATAAACAACAGCAAAATAATCCAATGAGTCACATCTTTATTTATTGAATATTATTATGAAGTTTATCATATTTAAACAATATATGAAACTATCATTATTTAATGAAAAGAAATTGCATTTAAAAAATCTAAATTGATCTCAACCAAGGCTATTTTTAGCAAAACTCACGATACCCAGACTGATAAAGGTAATGGTGGGGTTATTTGGAAAGGTAAGGTCACTGACAAAGATGTGTTCTTTTATCTTAGAATTTCATTCTTTTAACATTGATCAGAAAATTCCATTTTTTATACATTTCTAGGCAACTTCCACTTGATTCATGTTCATGAATATATTTTCCTTTGACATTTTAGTTTTCTAACTGCATTAGTCACCACTTCCAGCCATAAATTGTAAAAGAACATAGCAAAAATTGACAAAGGTTTAATGACATATTTAAACAGTGTCAACAAAATTTTGCAAAAGCACACCCTAAAAAATTATAGAAATACTCAATCAAGTTTTAAAAATAAAAACTAAATAATATTTAGTATGTTTATATACTAAGTTTCATGCAATTTGAATAAGTATTTCCACTATAAAATGTTGCCTGGGGATATCAATTGTGCCCCTCTGGTCCAAAAAGGGGTTAATGCTGGAAAAAAATAAGAATATATGATACTTGTAATTAGTTTCATCACTAGGCAGTTTCTTTTGGATTAATGGTAAACATTAAGTGAAAGCCAGTCCACATAGTGATAAGGGATTAATTTGTTTATTCAATAATCTTTCCTATAGGCTGTGTTCACTAGTAAGTATACCTTCACAAACAAAGTTTCAACAGAATCTCCATAACTAGTGTATACCTAACTTATTTATAAACTTAAATGCAGAACTTCTTAACTAACTCATTGATAACAAAAATGCTAACTCACTGACTGATTGAATCACAGACAAATAGACAATACCCCTCACTAACTCACTAACTGACACTAAACTGAATAAATCAACAACTACTCATCAACACACTGAATACTTCACCAATTCCTGATTCACTCACTCTCCCTTTTATATCATTCTCATTTTTCACTTACTACATGATATATTTAGATCATTATTTTATCCTCATTATTAGCTCCATCTAGCAAACAAATATTAAATTAAAATATCAAACACATAGCTTACAACAAGACTACAATGCAAGTTGCACTCAACTTTTGAAACTCCATATGAATTACTCACTTTGATAATTTTTCTTGGCTCATGGTACCTGATGTTGACAGTAGACCCATCTGGTAACACCAGCACAGTTGGATATAATCTCTTGTAAATTAGCCTATGAACTTTTGTAGTGCTTGCTAAACTTGAATTGTTCCTCACACATAATGATGAAGAACAAACATAAAGTAAACTTGATCTCCAAACATTTAACAAACCAAAGTTTTTCCTGAAATTAGAAACCATCTTATGAAGCATACAGTACTTTTTAACAAAATACAAAGGTAATGAGCATATTTTATTGGCTTTAACTAATATAAATTTGCTCACAAAAAAATTATGCACAGATTTTTAATATTCTTCTAAACGTCTGTGATCATAAAATTACTTATCATTGTATAAAAGCATTTAAATCAGTAAACTTTGTTTTATCTGCACTGTCACCAAGAACGATGTTTCTGCTAATATTGGGTTCTTTTAACACTTCTGTGAAATAAATAATACAACATGTATCATAAGATACAAATAATTTTTTTTGAAACTAACTTATTTCTTCAATGACAACTGAAGATGAAAAGGTACCTATACTTACATAAAAATTGTTCTATGCAACATTGTCATTATGATCCATAACACCACCACATAAAATTGAAATAACAGACAGCTGCAAAATGAAAAAGTTTTGGTAACTGATCTTGATTTTTCTCTAAAAAAAGCATCTATTTTTAGCAACACTAACAGCAATTAAGCAAAATATGTTGAATATATTTTTAAACAATAAGAAGCTTGGATAATTTATTTTTACAGGTAACAGGTACATTGCAAAAATTTAAATAAATTTATAAAGTAATCATTTTCATGCAACTTAAGGTAACATTAGACTACCAGGCTATTCAGAAATTAGTAAATCTGACAGAAAAACTTTGTATCCTGCAACAAAATTGACATTATAAAACTAACAATAAAATGAAAATATGAACAAAAAATGGATCATTTGGTCCTTCAAGGCTGACTCTGTACACCCATTTTTTTTTTTGAAATTATCAATTCACCTTTTAAACTCTTGTAAAGTACAAGCCTCCACTACTGCTGGCAGAAACTGATTTCATAATCCAATCAACATGTTAGAAAAATACAATAACCGTAACTGGGGCCTAATCTGTGATTTAGAAAAATACAATAACCGTAACTGGGGCCTAATCTGTGATTTCCAAGTTTTAAACTTGTGTCCTCTCATCCTATTGTCTTCAGAATATAACCCAAAGAAATCAGAGGCCTAATCCCATTAATGCACCTGAATAACCATATAGATTTCAGATAAGATAACCTCTTACCTTTTTTTTTTCAAGAAAAAAGTTAAAAGATCTTAATTTATCCATACAAGGTAACCCTTGCATCCAGGGAATTATATTAGTATTCCTTCTTTTTCACCCTTTCAATTAACTCAATAGCTGACTTTTAATCAATGTGTCTACAAATACAATAAAATTCTATTAGCTCTCCCACTAACAGCAGCACTCACTCATCTTGAGTGACTTATATACCACTACACCAACATCATTTTATTCAGTCTCAATATTAACATAACATATAAACAGTCAGGAATCACTTAATACATCAAGGCTGTTCTTGCACAACCAAACTTAAACCCACCCTTTATTTTTCAGAAAATGATTCCCCTCTTAAACATCAGTAAAGTTCTGGCCTCTACTATTGCCAACAGCAACTCATTTCATAAGCCAATCACCACATTCGAAAAATGTAACTAACTGTCTTAACTGAAGCCTAATATTTTCTTTTCCAAATGTTATAAACTTGTGTCCTCTTTTTTTTAATATCTTCCAGATTACAGAACAGAAATTAAGATACATTATCTTATCATTCTCTTGGATAATCATGTAAAGATCAATCTAATCAAAAACACCTTAGGTGTGAAAAAAGAGGTGTGGCCAAAAAAGGATTGAGCGTGCTACTTAGAGGAATGAAATCAAAATTGGTGGCCAAACTTGTAGCTACACTTATAGCACTGATAAGAATTTTACAGCAAATATTCATTCATTAGTTATCCAAGCTACATTTTTTTGTTCAACTTGGGGCATGATGGTGGGTAAAACAAAATAAATGGTCTAGCTAACTAATGAATGGAAACTAGATTAACAGTTTCTTGTCATCACCCACATGCACTTGATATAGATGTATCAAGCATAATTATTTATGCAACTACTTAAGCTAATATCACGCTATGCTAAGGGCTCTTTAATTAGGAGAATTTCAGAAAATTCAGCAAATTTGTGCTTAAAAGTTGGCAAAGAATAATAACTGTCCACCCACATTTCTTTTGAAAACTTGAGCAAGATACTGTTACTATAGTTTGCTTGGCCTAATCAATTTTTATGTATCTGCATGTGCTTTCACCCTATAGTTTTGTTGCTCTAAATCAGCCATCTTTAATTTGAATAATAAAAAACTAAAAATCAGTCTACTTTTACATGAAGCTGTAGGGCAAATTTCAGACCAATAGCTCACATGACTTTTTATGTAGACATGCGCAAAAATGTTGGTCAAAATTGAGCAGTTTTTGTTGAATAACTTTGCACAGGTGGCTTATATTTAGACCAAATTTAACACCTAATTGTAGGTTGTAAAGATCTATCAGTGTACCAAATTTGAAAAAAATCCATAAAAGTTAAGTATGTTTTTCTATCAAATAAAATTTCCATAGTTTTGGTGCAAAGAAAAAAAAGGAAGAAATTAAATCAAAATTTTAGATTTTATATCATATGTATTTCTTAATGGAATGCCTTGAAATTTGGTATGTGCAGTAAAAATCCAGTAGAGCACATCCACAGAAAATGTGTGATAATTTGGATTACCACAGTCTGAACTACAGAAAGTGGAAAATTGCTAAACTCTCTCTCCTAATTACAACACATAGTGTGTCTTGCACAACGTTTTGGTTGTACGACACACTACCTTATGTCTTGATAAGATTATTTCTAACCATTATTTTCTCAACAGAAAAGAATATAAGAAATCTTAACCTATCCCTTATAAAATAATTTTTCTATCCCAGGAATTATCATAGAAGCTATCATCCAACCCTTTCCAATAAGTTGATATCCTTTTTTTGATAAGACCTAAACTGTACGGAGTATTCCAAATAAGTATTGTTCTACAAGACTTGAGAAAAAACACTTGGATGAAAGATAATAAGGAATAAGTGAACACATCTAAATGTAAACTTTTTTCTAGTTTTATTTTGTGTGACATTTCAGGCAAATGCCCTTTGTCAGGCAGTAAAAACCATGTCAGTGCTGAATTGTATAACAGTACTTTATTTAATGTTTTCATTGCTAATCTACTAACACACCTTTTCTAAAATTAGTGCAACTGCCAACATATATATTTCAAGTGGCTTTCAATATATTTGTTTGAAAACATCATAATGCCCTCATTTTGGAGAGCTATATGTCATTATTTTCTCAAATTTTGTAATAGTTAATAAATTGTAAATATACTAACGTACATTAGCAAAACATGTTAATTTCACATGGCTTTTAATGTAGTCATTCATTTGCTACTACATGACTCTGCTGTTATACACCGTTTCAGTTTATGCCAATTCACCCTAAACATCTCAACTAGAATGGTGGATTTAAAGTCCAGGTTCTGGATAAAGTAGATAAAAAACCAAAAATTATAATACAGACAAGTTTCTTGACTAACATATAAATCATACCCACCGTCTCTTACATTTACATCGCAATTCATCTTTGTTGACACTAAATATAAAGTTTAAAGCACAAAACTGTAGAATTTAAGTTACCATTTCACACTTGTTTCCATAAGGAAAGAAAACCCACCATTCCTCTTTTTTTTCCTTCTTAATAATGCACAACATTATACAAAGCTAATTTGTAAACACCAACCTAATAGCCTAGTTTATGATTGTTTAAAAACAGTTCTAAATTAGGATGCCACTAAAAAATCAATAAAACAAATGAAAGTATGAACAAAATACACATCCAAAATCAATACTGAAACACAAATAACAGACACTTAAAAACGAGGCGAACTAGTTTGAGGGTTACAAGAAAGTGGGATTAAGTCAAGTAAGTCACAACAAAACTAAAAACATAATTACTATAAACTAGCAAGTCCACCATTTTTGTTTGTCAATATGCAAGACCTGTTAAAAGGTATCTTTGTACCAAATCCCATGTAAATCGGTCCAAAAATATGGCTGAGTAATTGACCAAAAATCCCAAAATTATGCTTTTTTTTGTGAGCTCTGATCCCTCTAAAAAACTTCAAATGGGCAAATCCAACTTTTTCTGTCAGTGTGTTGGGTACATAAAATGTATATTTGTGCTAATTTACATCTTGACTGCTGTAAATATGACCACACAGAAGTCACACATATACATTTTTGGGTTGTTTGACCCCATAAAATCTTTAAAAAGGCCTAAAAAATGAAAAAGAAATCTGAGCGTATTGGACTGACCATAACCCTACCAACTTTCAAGTCAATCCTCCGAGAAATGAAGGAATGGCAGTCGATTGAAAAGTGTTTGGAAGAAGAAACAATATAAAAATAAAATGAAAAAACATGTCTCTCTGCAGAGACATAAAGAAAAACTATTAACAAACAATTACCAAAAATAAAAGAAAAAGTGGCGTCCCGATACGAAACTCTTGTCGATTTTTGTAAAAAAGAAATTATATCATACGTAACTTAAAATAAGTTTACAAAGAGTTTTCCCAATGAAACAAAATATATTACACTACAAGTTAGATCATTTGGTCCTCTGTATTCGTATCTGATGATAAATATATCTAAGTAAAATACAACTTAATTTGGAAACCGAGTCCAACTTTCAACTTAGTGGTTGGGCTTAATTTTTGCTAACTTCCCATACTAAGTTCAAATTCAATTCACAACGGTGTGGAATTCGAACGTTGATGAAAAACTAAGCTTAAATTACCATATCTTGTAATTCATAATCAAGATTTATGCTAAAAACAAAGCCGAATATTACCTATATCATAAAGTTTGTGATTCGGACATTCTCCAGTCCTTAATGTAATAATAATACTAGGCACTTTCACAAGTAAGCAAATTCCTGATAGTGATATACAATGTATAAGACGCCCTCTCATGGGAATAAATATCTATATATGAGGGCGCGCGGGGGTGGGGAGGGAAAGCTTCAAAATGCAAGTATTTTCATAATATCTACAGTTGGATATTTAATGGAATTGTAGAAACCAAATAACTACTGTAAATAATACAAAGAAATTATAAGTACGTATAGTAAAAATTATAAAGTTTAATATCCTAACAATATATCTAATCTAATAGGTTCATGATGTTAGGAAAACACTTAGGTTCAAGAAATAAATTTAATACAAATATACGAAACTTTATAAATTTTAGCGCTTTAGAGAGGAGAAATGGAGAATCTTCACCTTTCGCAAGCGCTCTGGTTATATGGTTTCGTATCTTTGTGCTCGATCTAATAAAAATGCCAATAAGAATGTTTTCTTGAGTATCCAATATGTGGATGGTTTGTTTGGAATTAAGCACAAAGCTGCACAATGAGCTATCAGTACTCTGCCTACCACAGGTGTAAGAACCCGGTTTCTAGCGTTATAAGTCCGCAGACAAAATAGGATAAAGAACTAGCTACATCTATGACGTGTTTTTACTACTTTTAATTTTTTCTAAGTGTCATGAATTGATAAATAATTACTTTGTTTCTGGAAAAAATGAAATATTGTTACGACAGTGGAAGTCACGTCACGAGCTTCTAGAAAAATCATGTCCCTTCTTG